TTATACAACAACAGCATAAGCCATGAGCAATTGCTCCCATTTTACTAGGATACAACTGGGTTACAGACACTCTAAGAAATTTACCACAGGTCTAAGAGTAAAAATGACAGAGCAAGCACCTGTACCCAGGTGGCTAGAAATTAATATTAAACCTAAAGAGTCAAGTATCTCAGTAACAGATACAACATCAAAAGCAAATTGAGAGTGGGTTATGTAACTGAGAGAAGCTGAAACAATGTCAATGATAATGACATGGACCTTAACATTTATGTCCATAATACATTATTATTCTTACTATTAGTTTATTAATGTGACAGTGTAGAAGACATTTAAGGCCACAGAAAATATTTAACATACAGACAGAATTGTTAAAACACATATTAATTGTTAAAACACATTTGAAAACTCATTTCAAATGATGATGTGTCTCTGATAAAAATCATGGGTTTATGCATCCATGAACTCATGAACACCTATCACATGTCAACCCAAATAAGTGACTGAGGCAAAAATCTCAATCAAAGTAGCTTACCTAAGCCAAACTGAGACACACCTGGGGTGGGGCAGAGGGAAAGCTAGAACCTTCAGCATACCGAGAGATATACAGTGAGACACACTGACTCACTAGTTTAGCTTTAAATGTACGACAAATCAGGCTAACAATATTTCCCCTCATGGGTCTCTCTTTCTAGAATTTAGGGGGCATTTGTGCAAATTTTATGTAACTTCCATGTGCAGCTGGTCTAATTGTGGTCTGCAGAGAGTGACAGTGCATCCAGACGTGGGTCCTAAACAGTCCCTGCTGCCCCACAGCACTGACACTGCAGGGCCACATCCTATCTCCCATCCGTGTCTGGGTGTGAAGCCCTGCCCAGGACCCTGCCCCATGAAGCCTCTTCACAAGCTCATATCACTGGATCAAGGTGATATGGGATCTCAGTGCAGGTGAGAGGGACTGAGGGAAGGCAGGAGTAGGGTGAGCAAACACGTCAGGCTAGATGCTGCAGAGTCAGAGAAGACCAGCAAGTCCAGTGCCCAGTATTTCAGAAAGGAGGGGGACTCAGAAGGACCCACCAAGAACATCACTGTACCTGAGTAAGAGCCATTCCTGAATCCTCCGCTTCCCTCCTCCTCGTCTTCTGGGCTTCTTCTTCATGTATCATGAATCTTTAGAAGTCAATCCTGAATGTCAAAAATGTTGTTTAATGCTGAGAATCAACACATCCCCTTCCTATGCCACAACCAGAAACACAGGGAAGATCTCATCTTGTGGCAAAATTCCCACTGCGTGGAGGGGAACACAGCAGCAATAAATTCCTACCAAGAAGAACAAAAAGTGAATTTATGACCTTGTTCATCAGACCCCTGCCCCTTTCCTGGTGAAGGCTTCACATACCCTGCAGCAGTGGGGAGCTAGGTTGCACTGAGTTCCCCTCCAGGGCACAGTCCCAAATCCGAGGCAGAACACAGTCCCTCACCCCTCTGTGATCACAGGCTGAGCTCAGCCCTCAGAGTTTGGTGTTCAGTGCAGGATACAGACTGGACACACCTGGGGCAGTGAACATATTGTTGAAGCTGAGCCTCAACCTATCTGAAGGACAATCTCTCGTTAGGGGACACAGATGCTTATTTGCAGAATGCCTCAGCACTGTGTTGTGAAACCAGGGTTGAGCTCCATTGAAGGGGGCACGCCCAACACACTCCCCATATGTTGTGACTTTTCTCTCTCTTGAGGCCTTGTTGTCACCTCACCTCATCTGTCACTCAGATGGTGGAAGGCCAAAAAACAAAAGACACACAGAACCATATGACATGGACAATTGTGTACATACATGTACCCACACCCTACCCCATCCCAGGAAAGGAGAAGAGGGCGACTCACAACTAAATGAGTCAAGTCACTGCCCTCTGGCTGAACAGCAACTACAAATGGAAACTAGACTCTGATACCGAGAGTTATAAAAATGTACATGTCATATAGACAGGACTTTTGCCATTTTCACCAGCATCTGCATAATTTTAAGAAACATATTAAAATTTCTATAAAGAGGGTGGCGCCTGTGGCCCAGTGGGTAAGGCGCTGGCCCCATATACCAAGGGTGGCAGGTTAGAACCTGGCTCCAGCCAAACTGCAACAAAAAATAGCCAGGCATTGTGGCAGGCGCCAGTAGTCTCAGCTACTTGGGAGGCTGAGGCAAGAGAATAGCCTAAGCCCCCTGGAGGTTGCTGTGAGCTGTGACATCAGAGCACTCTACTGAGGGCAACAAACTGAGATCCTGCCTCAAAAATTTTTTTTAAATAATAAAATTAAATAAATTTTAAAAATAAAGGCTTGGCACTTGTAGCATAGTGGTTACAGCACCAGTCATATGCCGAGGGTGGCGGGTTCAAACCCAGCCTAGGCCAGCTAAACAAAAAAATAGCTGGGCATTGTGGCGGGTGCCCGTAGTCCCAGCTACCTGGGAGGCTGAGGTAAGAGAATCACCTAAGCACAAGAGCTGGAGGTTGCTGTGAGCTGTGATGCCACTGTACTCTACAGAGGGCGACAAAGTGAGACTCTGTCTCTAAAAAAAGAAAAAAATAAAAAATAAAATTTCTCTAAAGATAGAAATCACAACTTACTCATCATATTCAATCAACTCGTCACTCTTTCTTCACTCCTGTTTTCTGCCCTCACTCTGTGCATCCTCTCTCTAGCCTTTTCTTTTCTGTTACCCCTGGGCTTCTGCTACTCATTTGTGCCTCTCTCCTTGCCTGCTTTTTCTCCTTTTCTTCCACCTGATTTGATACATTCTTGCAACTTGTTTTACCTGCTGAGGCTTTCTCTCCCCAATCTTTTGATTGTCCCCAATCTCATATATTTCTATCTCTTTCTTCCCTATCTCTGCTCGCCCAATACTCTCCCTGTTAAATTCCTTCTTCTCTGTTACACCCCCCTGCCCCCAGGGTGGCTCTGTTCTGGGAGTTTTATAGGCAAGACCTACCAGGCAGGCTGGGGCAACTCAAGTGTGGGAACTGGGATCTCACTGGGCAGTTCAACATTGGATTGTAATTGGATCCAGGAAAGTTCCTATAATTAAAATTAAGCAATTTAATGAAACAAATCTTGCAACTGTCTCTGATGGAAATGCAAACCAGACCATGAAACGCCATTTGATGCTAATGCACCAAAAGCACACCATTCATTTCTGTTTTCTATTCATTCAGAGAGGACAGTTTCAGCCCTGCATCAGTTCCACAGGCTATTAGAGGGAAAATACCTGGCCTGTGGGACTAAGGCCTGTGGTTAGTTAGGTTAAGAACTCTTCCTTTTAAAAAAAAAGCAGTAACTTCACAAACAGAAACTAATTTGCACTATTCCTCTTCATGCTCGTTATTCTCCTCCACACCAGTGATAACTTAAATCCTCAAATACCTTTGAGGGAAACTTTGCTGTCTTCAAAACACTGTCACATCGGGCTGGGTCTCAGCACTCTGAGAAGCCAAGATGGAGGATCCCTTGAGCTCAGGAGTCTGCGACCAGCTTGAACAAAAGTGAGACCCTGTCTCTACTAAAAATAAAAAAAACTAGCTAGGCATTGTGATGGGCACCTGTAGTTTCAGCTACCTGGGAGGCTGAGGCAGGAGGATCACCTGGGCCTAGAAGTCTGAGGTTGCAGTGAGCTATGACGCCACACTGCAGTCTTACTCAGATGATAGAGACCCTGTTTCAAAAAAAACAGAGGTGCACAAGCCTCAATAAGACCCTAACATCTCCCATAGAACACACCAAAGCTGCTATTTTATCTTCAAAAGCTTCCTGACCTGCAACACAAAATAATATAGGTGGCTCGGCACCTGTGGCTCAAGCGGCTAAGGCGCCAGCCAGATACATCTAAGGTGGCAGGTTCAAATCCAGCCCAGGCCTGCCAAACAACAATGATGGCTGCAACCAAAAAATAGCCGGGCATTGTGGAAGGCGCCTGTGGTCTCAGCTACTTGGGAAGCTGAGGCAGTAGACTCACTTGAGCCCAGTAGACTCACTTGAGCCCAGGAGTTGGAGGTTGCTGTGAGCTGTGATGCCACAGCACTCTACCCAGGGGGAAAGCTTGAGGCTCTGTCTCAAAAAAATAAATAAATAAAAAAATAAAAATAACACAGGTAACTCAAAAGATGATTTCTGGATTCCTGAGATTTCCCGTAGAATTCCTCCATGGGTTGCAGGACAATTTCTGCACTCCCAGAAGACTCCACAAGTCTGTGTGGAGCGGAAGCTGCAGTGTGACTCTGGGATCCAGCGCTTAGTTCCAGGGTGCCTATCCTCCTCCTACCAGAGCTCCCGGTGGACTCATCTGTGGTCTTAGTTCTAATTACACTGGAGAGTGTTTCCCTCCGCCTGATTCCATTGCCTTTGGTCCTCTGCACTGTGACCCTAAGTTTCCCAGCTAAACCCCTGCATGTAAAGCTCAGCTTCTCTGTTCCAGCAGCTCTGAACTATGGCACTGGGGCCCTCCAAAACAAACCATGAAGCCCCACAATGCCCCACCGCCCGCCAACAAACCCACTTCCAGGTGCTCCATCTAGTTCTAAGACATTCCTTTCAAAAAGTTCCATACACTCCTGATTCAACAGCCACAGTTGAAATGGGCACACACCATTCATAGAACTTATACAGAGGCGGTCCTCACTTTAAAACCCCAAGAAGAGGCTCGGCACCTGTGGCTCAAGTGGCTAAGGTACCAGCCACATACACCTAAGGTGGCAGGTTCGAATCCAGCCCAGGCCCGCTAAACAACAATGATGGCTGCAACCAAAAAATAGCTGGGCATTGTGGCGGGTGCCTGTGGTCCCAGCTACTTGGGACGCAGAGGCAGGGGACTTGCTTGAGCCCAGGAGTTGGAGGTTGCTGTGAGCTGTGATGCCATGGCACTCTACCCAGGGGGACAGCTTGAGGCTCTGTCTCAAAAAAAAACAAAAACAAAACAACAACCAAAAAAAACCCAAGAAGAACGAACTAGACTGAAAGGCACAGGAGACTCCGAAGACAGCAACACAGCAGGAATGGACCCAAACCATCACATGAAAGGCAGTGGGCCTCTGGTTGTAGTTTAAGAAGTTAGCAGTGCCGGAAGAAATTGCCACAATCTGGGACAATATGGAGGCTGGTTTAAAGGCAGGCAAAGATTGGGTACATTGAGTTAACTGAGGATGTCACAAAACAGAGGCACCAGATTTCATGAGGGAGGCCACCACTGTTCCCATGTCTCACCTGAAGGATTCCCTAGTTCTTTAGGGGTACCCCCTTTGTGCTCCTCAGGCTCCTTTATCCCCACCCTTCCTGAAGGGAAGCCAAGAGCCCTGACTCTGTACATGGCCTAGCAGAAGGCAAGGCCCCTGAACACAATGGCAACTGGTCCCTGGTGATGGGCAAAGGCTGGAGATCCAGGAGGAGTAAAGGAATGACACAGATGGCTAAAATGGGGACACTTTAGCACACTGTCTGAGGACACAAGGCGTGTAGGGCCTTGAAGGCCTCAGTACATTCTTTTGTTCATTTTGAGTAAAATAAAGTAGCCACAGGAAGTTTAGATTAATTAGAATTGAAATTCCAAAAGAAATATGCAACCATCTTTATCACCTGTCCTGTCGCCCTGGTCTTCCCTGAGAAAGACTCAGGCCTATCCATAGCCTCAGTATCTCACCACAGCCCCAGAGCAGGTGTTATAATTGTCCAGTGAAGGAGACTCCAGTGTGTCCTCCAGTGTTGGGAAAACACAAAAGATGCAAATGATCGGTGTGGAAGAGCGTTTCTGATATTGTGATTGATTCAAAGATAATAAAACCTAAGCAACGTGGTAGAAATTGACAGGAACGTGAAATGATGGGGCTGGGTTGGGGGCAAGCCTAGATCTGAAGGACAAAGGGCCAGAGGCAGGATAATTTAGGAAAAAAGGGTAAGATTAGGGACAAAGACTTGACATAGGGAAGGGTTTGGAAAAAGAGAAATGTCAAATGTGACTGGGGCAGAGTGAGCTATGAGGAGGCTGAGCTCCTAGGATGAGGCTGCACACAGTAGAAGCGCTCTGATGACAGGGGGCTGTGGAGTAACAGAGGAACCTGGATTTTTCTCGAGGACCATGACGCCACAGGAGGGCTCAATGTCAGGGATCAACAGGATCTGCCTTTAGATTTAGCCCTGGTAACCCTAACGCAGAGAAAGGCCTCTGAAGACAGCCTCGGATCCATCTGTGTGATTTTATTTCCTTCTCACTTTTACAGGACTAAGG